ACCGAGTCAGAGTTTTTTTTTTTTTTTTGTTAACTTGCTTTGTCTGCTAGATCAGCTGAGCCTGCTTCTTATGTCATCTATCCCCCAATGGAGCATCAGGCCTCAACCAACTCCCGCCAAGTGATTCTATTCTACATATTTTCATGCAGCTCATACCATGACCTGCTCATTTGTTCAACTTCCCTCTCCCTCCTCCAAGCGTTTTTGGCCTACCTGTATTACCTTGCCTCGGTCGGTTCCAGTGCATTCTGGTTATATTATTGTTAGGTTTTCTCACCATGTGCCCTATCCAACGCCAGTGTCTTGTCTTCCCCTCTGGGTCTACTAGAACTTGTTTAGTTCTCTCACAAAAGCTCGAAATTGGTGTTTCTATCATACGATTTGATCCCATCTACAAAGCCCGACAATTAAGTAATGAGACTAATTCCATAAAAATTAAAATAATCAACAGTTAAAGATAACCTGTATTTTATTCCAAGTAAGCCCCTTGTGCATTGATACAGTGAGTAGCACGATCTAACAAACACTGGAACTACCGCTGTTTTTCTTCTGTTTCTATGGCCATTAAAGTCGATGTTGCGGCCTTTTGGATGTCATCAGTATCGTCAAAGATACATCCTTTCAATCGTAACTTCAATTTTGTGAATATAAAATAATCACAAGGAGACAAATCTGGGGAATAGGGTGGATGGTTGAGAACACACACTTGTTTTGGGGCCAAAAATTCCTGTTTTAATGATGTCTCGTGGATACTCAATCCGCTGATGTTTTTGGTTATCAGACAACGAATGCGGTACAAACCTGCAAAACAACTTTTTTCTTGCCAACATCTTGAGCTAAAATTTTAAGAATGGTCTCTCTGTTAACACCAGATTCATCTGCCATCATGCTGACAGTAAAACAGCGATCTTCTTGTATCCGTTCTGTGACTTTTGCACTGAGCTCTTCATTACAAATATAAATTGGGCGTCCAGGTCTAGTAGCATTAGTAATCATTTCTATACACTACTTTTGAGTCGTGAAAACCACATGAAAATCTGTGCACCAGATACAGTTATCCCCATAAACTTGTCGCATCAATTCAACTGTATCAAAAGGGCTTTTCAAGAGTTTTAAACAGAATTTATCGTTTTCTTTGCCTTTCCTTTATATATTTGTAGATCTGGTTGTTGTGATCTCGCATCAAGTATACTCAATTTATCTTGAATCTAATTTCCTGAGTGGATATAAGAGAAATATCATTAGCGAAGTCCAGGCCATCCGCTGTTTTGTAGGCGGTCCACTGAATTCCATTTCTGGTGTTAGCAGTTACTGTTTTCATAATCCAGTCTTTTGGCAGTAAAAATAGAAAAGGCGAAAAAAGACTTTCCTGTTGCAGACCCGTTCTTATTTCAAATTTGTCTTTAGCTTTCCCTCATGAAGAACTCGACATTTCATGCTTTTATTTGTTGCTTTTCGAAGTTAATAATTTTTTATAGGATCCACAATTCCCCTATCATTTTCCAGAGAAATTCCCTATCAGTTGTGTCAAAAGCTTTTTCGTAGTCAACGAATCCAATATAAAGTGGGGAATTCGATTTATTGCGTTGCTCTATTATTATACGTACGTAATGTGGCTGTCTGGTCAGTACATAATCATTTTGACCCAAAACCTGCTTGTTCATTCCTTAGCATTTTATCAATAGCATCGTTTAGTCTTTCTAAAATAATCCTACTTAATATGATGCTGTCGATTGATCTATGAAAAAAACAGTCTAACTTCAGATGCTTGGTGCGCCACTGATATAAAACGGATGGTAGTATGTGTTATCACAATCGGCGTAACAGCAATATGCGTGCTCAGTGCTCCGATGCAACAGTCACACCTAGTTACTTCTTTATTTGTTCCTATGTTGGTTAAAACGTCTCCTGTCACGGCCTTGAAGGCGGCGTAGACGTGCTTCGCCATCCGTTACTCCCATGTCACGCAATCGTGTTGGTGCAGAGATTCGTCATTATAAACTAGCCTAGTCCGTATAGCTTTGATGATATCTGCCCTGCCTATGCTTCTTCCCACATGTGTTGGTGCATTGCCTGCCAGTTGGTCAGGCTCGCTCATTACCCTTTACACCAGCATAACTGGGTGTGTAGATCCAGGTGAGGGAAGTTGAGTGCAAGTTTCAGATGTTTTCTACCCAATTTGATCCTTCACTTTACATAATGATAACGGTAATTCGTCATCGTGACAGTACAACATAGTTTTGTGCATTTTTCCCGGCCTATCTTTAGACAGTACCAGAAGGGCAATATTAGACATTAGATAATGAGAATGCAGGTCATATACCTTTGATCTCTTATCGGTCACAGAACAAAATACAGTATCATAAAACAAAAACTAATGCTAAAGATCAATGCATCTCTACGGTCTCTCTAATTATGCTGCTGTGGAAAAATTATTTAGGTCATAATCAAGATTTGCCGCGTTCATCTGTTTATCTAACATGACAGCTAATCGGGAATTTGTAGAAAACGCCGGGGACAGTGGCGCCAACATACTCTCTCTCTCTCGCGCGCGCGCGGGCGCGCACGCACACATACACACTATTGTTAATTCAAAGTGCTTTGTTTGAATTTAAAAAAAAAGTGCCGGTGCTCACCATTGAGCGACTATAATGGTGCTGGTACCCACCACTAAGGGTCTATAATGGTGCTGGTACCCACCACTAAGCGTCTATAATGGTGCTGGTACACATCACTGAGCGTCTATAATGGTGCTGGTACCCACCACTGAGAGTCTATAATGGTGCCGGTACTCACCACTAACCGTCTATAATGGTGCTGGTACCCACCACTAACCGTCTATAATGGTGCTGGTACACACCACTAAGCGTCTATAATGGTGCCGGTACCCACCACTAAGCGTCTATAATGGTGCCGGTACCCACCACTAACCGTCTATAATGGTGCTGGTACCCACTACTAAGCGTCTATAATGGTGCTGGTACCCACCACTAAGCGTCTATAATGGTGCCGGTACCCACCACTAAGCGACTATAATGGTGCTGGTACCCACCACTAAGCGATTATAATGGTGCCGGTACCCACCACTAAGCGACTATAATGGTGATGGTACCCACCACTAAGCGACTATAATGGTGCCGGTACCCACCACTAAGCGACTATAATGGTGCTGGTACCCACCACTAAGCGACTATAATGGTGCCGGTACCCACCACTAAGCGACTATAATGTTACTGGTACCCACCACTAAGCGACTATAATGGTGCCGGTACCCACCACTAAGCGTCTATAATGGTGCCGGTAGCCACCACTAAGCGTCTATAATGGTGCTGGTACCCACCACTAAGCGTCTATAATGGTGCCGGTACTCAGCACAACGTTTCTAACAGAGAAGCGCTGAAAACAAAAACATCAGCCCTAATTAGGTGCCGGGATTTACATAAAATGAATGAGAAGAGGAGGAATTTCCCGGAATAGCTACCACCTCGACAGGGTGAGAAATGATACATCTTCTTATTCTTCTTTTGTTCGCTTGAAATGGATTATCTATTTCTGCAGTGTTGTCTCTAGTATTTTATATTCATAAAGTAACAGACAACAGATGTTTTGATCGGCACTCATAAAAAGAATGTCTCTATTATGAACGTCACTGTCATTTCTCATTCACTTAGCAACCAGTAAAATTTGGCTTGCACAGGTGTGTCTGTTAACCTTTTAGTTCGTTTGAAATGGATTATCTATATCTGCAGTGTTGTCTCTGGTATAAACTTTACTGTCGTTTGTAATTCACTCAGCGGCCAGTAAAGTTTTACTTGCACCGGCGTTTCTCTTGGCCAATAGTTTTTCCTTGATATGTTGTATTTGATACTGAGAACAACATCTTGCATCAAACTGATCGAGAGGCAGAAGATCAGACCATTTGGTCATCTTTCAAGAATGCGCCTATAACAAATACCAACTCAAGCTCTGCACTTAAACAGATCTGATGTTACTGCACGAAAGCGTCCAAGGAGAAAGTAAAATAAAAAGTAAAGGGCACTATTCCACGTCTTTCAGGAGTACTAGGCATATAGGGTTAGACCTATATTTTATAGACCCAACGGCACTTGATGAGTGATGTGGTCAGCTCCCAGGTCGACATAGTCTTGAATGGGTACCAGGTACAGTCCTGGAAAGTAAAGGCGACCTGGGAGCTAAGGTCATTATTGAAAAAGATTCGGCTCTTGTCAGAAAGCGAACCCACGACCTTCCGATCCGCAGGCAAGATTCTAGTCACTAGACCATAGCGACTCCCCGAGGAGAAGGTGGATTAATTATTGTACGTTCACATGGAATGACAATGGCTAGCGCCCTGTAAACGGTTCCTTTCTTAGTCAGGAATTTCTTCTTCTTCGCTTTTCCTGAAGGAAAGTTGTGGTTGTTCTCCGGCTTCTGGACTTTAATCCTTTTTCCAGAATTTGAGTTTTGCATGCACATTTTTGGAACATATCTGGCTTATTCGTTTTCAGACTGTTTCCTTGTCTCTTAGGCTGATGCATTTAGACTTCGACGGAAACACCTACTTCGGACACTTTTCTAACATGCCTGTTATGAAAGCAGTGGGTCTATTCTTTGTTAATTGATTATTGATTTGAGAATCTACATCATAGCCCACTGGGAACACCCATAGATGCTCCGTCTTTCATTGGCTTAGGGTGTAGATGCTATTTTTTTTTTATTTAACCCCCTCCCCACCCTCTCCTTTTCCCAACAGGGCCCCAGTACTCACACGGGGACGCAATTTTTTAAATAATAACCTTTACTAAAATAGACTTTAGAAAAGTATTTGCTTTGTCTCAATTTCACAAATATACATCTTTATTTGCTCGAAGGCAGAAGAGAAAGTTGATGATGTGATGACGATGAGGATGATGAGGAATGAATGTCTGAACCTATGGTTAGTTTCATCCTTAGAAGGAGTTCAATCTTTAGCAAACCTTCCATTTGTTCTGTTTCCACAGGGCCAGACGGTCAGTTTGCGGTGCTTGCCAGTCAAACAGCTGACACTGACACGGGCAGTCCTAATTGAGTTTAAAATGGTAAAAACGTTTCCGTTATGTGTTTTGTTGTGTCGATTAAACTGATTTCCCCTCTGACTGCCAAAGTCAGCAGCGACTCACCCATATCCAAATCTCATTGTGGTATCCGGACAATGGAACAATAGAAAGCACTGTATGTGTACGTTTAGATGATTAGCTGTCAGAACTTTATAACCACATCAAGACTCTTCAGCGTAATGTTGTTTACTGTATAGTTTATGTTTTCCTACATACCTACTTACCTGACTACTTATCTAACTACCTAAATATTTACTTTTCTAATATATATCTGGCAACTTACCTACCTAACTACCTACATTGCTACCTACCTACATACGTAACTTCATAAAACTTGGAAATCTACCTACATACCTACCTTCATATCTAAATACCTAACTATCACCATACCGACCCATTCATCTGAACACCACCTACCTATATATCTAATACTCTTCTACCTAAACATCTACTTACCTAACTACAAGTTACTTACTTATCTACCCATCTGCTTATCTAAATATCACTGCCATGTGTATTTATATAACTGCCTGTTTGTCTGGACATTTTTATAAAATCTACATTTGCGTTTATTTCTGTCCTCGATATCAACCAGTACATGAAAACAAGTTTTCCCGCTTTGCAGATCCACGGGTGGTAAAAGGTTAAAGAACCCTGATCTAACCCACTCTCCACGACGTGTGAGGCAGACATTTTAACCCCTTGGCCACACACACCTTTCGCCACGTTTAAGTAATGTAAACAAAAGACACAATTAATGCTTTCACCTGTATACACCACTTGGACCTTTCACATGTACATACATTCTTTCCTGACTTCAAAAAGACAGGAACAATCTAGCATCTATAAACAGCACAAACAATGTTTCCATATTGACCTTATCCAATATTTCCATAATGACAAAATAAACATATTGTGGGAATGAAAAATGCATAAACATCCATCTTCTAATAGACAACGCACTGTGGAACTGGCAGACATGTTTGTACACAACACACGCGCGTCAAAACATGGGAGTTCAGTCCACCTGAGGCTCCTTTAAATCCTCCCCCCCCCTCAACCCCCCCTCCCCCTCCCAGCCCACCAAAGAAAAAATGGGCTGGGGCACCTCTTCCCACAACTAAACATGAATAGAAATTTCCTTTGCAAGTATTGGTTAATACATGCAAGCTTCACTGGGAAGTTCACGGGTATTGAGCATACTTAGGATCTTCTTTCCAGGCTATGTCGACGTGGTGGGTAATGAACAGGCAGACAGGCTGGATCTGCACCACTGGGTGGTTAACTGATACATGACAAGGCAGATGTGATCAAGACCCTTTGGAAAGGACCAACGAAATCAGTAAAGAAAAAATATTTTTATGGCCTGGAGAGAATAGGGCACCTGGGTGTAACCAGAACGTCTGGCTAGTTCACTACACTCAGAGGAAAGGCAAATCGGACATATAACCAGATTGTGACCGGTACCATCAGTGTTGGAACTCTGCGCTGGCTGCTGAAGATGAGCACGGAGCGCACATGGGAATACCCCGAGTGCCGTGATGTCAATTCTTGACTCAACTCAACTCAGCTGGTCAATACATGTCATATTTTATTTCAAACGTTTATTATATTTATTTACTATTCAACACATTGTTATTATTCGATTACTCTGGAATTAGGCCAGCTGGGAGCCTATTCTTTTGTTTAGACCATCTGACCAACACCTCCACCACCCTTTGCTCAACCACCACCTTCTTAAAATGTTCCCTGTGTCGGCTTGCCAGGTACAGGCTTACTAACTCGGCACTAAGGGTTTTCTCTGATATAGATGTCTATCAATGCACTGTGGGCCAGGCCACACTTTCCAATATCTTCTCTCGTAATTGCTCCCTGCATGTCAACTCCTGCAACTTTCTCCTTGTTACCATATACTCCAGTTTTCCCCCTCTCACATCGAGCCCAACAAGTGTAGATTGTTATTTGTTTTGATTCGCACAATCAGTTTTCTTCTTGGGTTAATATCTGTCAAGCACTAAAGAAAGTTAGTCAGAGTATAGAGAATTGACCTCCTCTTTTATCCCATATGAATCGGTCTTTTTCAGAAGAGGTATAACCTTCTACTGAGTGTGTAGTTTAAAGCGCGAACTGTGTGGCTTCAGCGACGATCCCCGGGGCCCTCTGTATAAAATACACTCTTGAACTCAACGACTCCTACGTGAAAGGAACCCACGACATTCAGAGCGCAAGGCAAAGTACGTGACCATTTAGCCTTCACAGATACCCCAACATTAAGACATGGTCACTACCTGGTTTATCAGTCCACGGTGTTCTGAGGAAAAACATAAACAAGCTACATCGGTGAAATTATTCGCACACAAACACTGCTTACATATATTTTGTAAAGTGGAAGAAGTGTACCTAC